CCCCAAAACCCCAAAACCCCAAAACCCCGCTAAGCTTGTTGTTTATTTAGACGATTAAATCAATGAAATTAATTTACTTGATAAAAATAAATCTATGTCTTTAAGAATTGAAGCCAGCAAATCAAACTTTAAGAATCCTAAGGATGCTGTGATTGGGCAAGAAATGCTGCAGTTGCTACTTGATAGTAAATTTAAACTTCCAAATTTCACAAATAGTAATTTCATTCGCATAATCTTTATAGCTCAGAGAATAGAGGTTTTTATGGGCAATAACAATATTTGATAGGGAGGTTCATCAAATCGAAATAAAGAGATTGAGAAATTTGCTTCGTAAAAAAGAAGATTAAATTAAAATCAACTTAACTATGATAACGAAGAAATTTTGTGCGAAGGAAAAGTTGTAGATACGAGTAATTATCAGTAGATTTGATCAAATAATCAAACAATCAACAGCAATAAAGATAAGGGGTAAATTAGCAGAAAATACATAGATCAATCACTTAATATGTCAAAAAAGTTAAGCAAAAAGAGATTAGAACAGACTAGTTTGAAGAAGCTATATCAAATCCCTAACAATAAAGATTTGATTTTTGCACATTACTCAAAATATTAAAGATAGAGGGACAGCAATCATTAATAATATAATAACTTTCCAACAATGAGTACAAGCCCAAAGATAAACAATAATAAGCTAGATCCAATTATGTTAGAAAGTAATATAAATCGACATCAAACTAACAGCGATTTTCATTTATCTTTTGAAAATCAGTAAAAAATGCTTAATACAATTGATGGCTTCTATTCAAACTTGATTGATAATAAAAATGGAAAAAACCCAAATGAATTTAATATAAAAGATCATTTGGATCAAAATCACAGTTTTAGAACAGGATAAATTGATAATAAAAACGTATAGCAGAAATAATAAAATTCTCAAAACATCAATACTGCCTAATTTAATTAATAAAAAATGGATGATAATCTATAGTATTATCACTAAAAGACAAATTCTTTTAATTAAACAAGTGAAAGGACTCATTAAAACTTTTCCAATACTTCAGGAGGGTTTGATTCATAAATACCTTCAGCACTTGTTCAGAATTCTTAGGGAATTCTAAACTAGTATCGAGGAGGAAGTACAGTTACCAATAAAAATTTAAATCCATATCAGAGTGCATTAAAAATTTCGAATAATCAATTTGGCTTTACAGCTTATAGTAAACCAATATTTAATTTGCCTCATGCCAATAAATTCTTAGTAAGAATATCTAATCATATTAATTTATTAGTCAAGAGGAAAAATAGCAAATTACTAAGTGTAAAAAGGATTGACCTAGAAAGTTTCATCTCAGGAATTTGCTTTGCCAGTTATTAATAAGAAGAATTCAATATCAGAAATCGATATAAAAAATACTTAGCAGAGATCTCATCAAAGTAGTATCTTGAATCATGTGCTTTAGAGTGATATCTTGGCAAATTAATGCTCTCCTCCGCATCCTTCTCAATCTAACCCTAAATTAAGAACCACTTAACAGCTATATTCTCAATAAACTGCGACATCCAAAATACTAATCAGCTAAAATAAGCAAATATAATAAAGTCCGAGATTCCTTGATAAAATCAGCCCATACACAAATTACAAAACTGACATTGCAGAGAATGATGAGCTAGCTGAGTATAGTAAATCAGAGTCAGATCCTTTTGATAACCAAGAAATATCACCTTTAAATTTGGAATCAGATGAATAAAATCTTCCATCATAGAGAAATATGAATGCCTTTTATGATGGAAGCACTTATTCTAATTAGAATAGGGATATCATTACAATTAAAGGAAATGTAAGCATTCATACTAGTTTTAATTTAAATCTGATTGTAGTTGTCATAATATGATAAATAGAGAAAGTCAATAAATATCTCAAAAGGAAACTTTAATGATAGAGTTTAATAAATGGTAAAGGAGAGTAATTAGATATAAGACATAAGTGAGAGAAGCAAGAGAAGTTAAAATAAATTGAATGATTCCAAAAACATCAATAATGATACCAGTGGATGTAAGATTTTAGATTATGTATTATGAATCCTTAGATTAGAGATCAAATGTTGTCTTAAAAAAGTAATCAATACCAGTTCTAAGTACTCAAGATATTTTGTAATAGAACCAATTCAATCCTTTGAATGGTGATGCACAGCAACCATTAAAGAAAATCAAGTAAAAGACTAAGAAAATAGATAAAAAAGCTTTGTAGCAATAACAAAGAGATAACGATATAAAGAAATACTTTCTAGCTAATATAAATTCACAATTATAGTTCTCTAATACTGAATTTTCTACTCCAGGTTCTTCTTCTAAGTTCTTAGAGGAATATCAATTGGAAGAAAAAAGTTTATTAGGTTCAGGTGGCTATGCTGAAGTAAGACTTGCCACTCACAAGAAGACTGGACTCTTGGTTGCTATCAAAATATACGAAAAATATAAATTAATTGACCCTCAAATAAAGCAGAATTTAATTAGAGAGATTAAAATCTTATCCCGCTTAAATCACCCTAATATTATGAAGCTATTTGAATCAATAGATACTTTAAGTCATGTTTATCTTATTAATGAGTATGCTAAGGGTTTACCCTTGAATGATTATGTAAAATCCCTAGATCCTCAAAAATTAGAGGAAGTAGATGCACAAAATATACTTAGATAGATTTTTGATGCATTAGCTTATTTACATTCTAAAAATATGTGCCACAGAGACATCAAACTTGAAAATATAATTATAGATCCAGAAACCAAGATTATTAAAATTATAGATTTTGGTTTTGCTGTCTATAGCACTAAGACATTGAAGTTGTATTGTGGCACGCCGACATATATGGCTCCTGAGATAATTGCTAAAAAAGAATATAAAGGTCCTCCCATCGATATATGGACCAGTGGAATCGCTTTTTATATTATGCTTTGTGGATTTTTCCCCTTCTATGCACATACTGACAGAGAATTAGGAAGGAAAATATCTCAGGGTATTTTCCACATTCCAAAAGAACTGTCTGAATAGTCTGTTAAGGTATTATAGAAAATGCTTGTTGTTGATCCAAATTAGAGAGCTTCAGCTGCATAAATTTTAGATGACCTTAATTCTTTAAAAGATAATTAAATTCAATCAATAGCTCAAACAGAAAGAGTTGATGATTCAAGACTTATTTTAGAAAAGAAAACCTCAAGTTAGATGATTCTCTTTGAAAAGCATTTGGATAATGGAAGAGGGCCAATTCACAAAAGATCTAAGCCATAATTAAGTCCTAGATCAAAGACTCAATTTCAGTGTGAACCATAAATTCTCGATGAAGATACTCTCTAGCATCTAATAAAACTTGGATATTCTGAAAATGACATTAAGTAAAACTTTAACAAGGAGACTGAAATGATAGGGATATTATATAAAAGATTATTGACTTTAAAATCATCTAATTTACCAATGTGAATAAAAAAGGTAATATTGATTTTATCGTATTACTTATTATAAGTTATATACATAATTTCATAATTATCAATAAATAAAATCACATATTTAACAGAATGATTGAGTAGCTAGCTTATTAATAAGTTAAATCATAATTGTCTTTACTTAATCTTATGTTCCTCCATTTTATAGCCAATCATCTACTCTAGTTTAGTTTGCTTTTGTTAGGATAGTTTGTGAACTTAAGAAAACTAGTAAGCTATTAAGTCTGGTTTGTCATCTTCATAAAGTACTATTCTTTGCATTCCTTTTTCTTTGCCTAGATTTACATCAATATAAAGCATTGGCAGTTTTTCTAAAATTAAACAATAAATACAAAATTGATTCTTACAATCCTATTTTTGTTAAAGGGAGCCTGAGAATATTGAATTATTACTTAACTGTGAGGTCTGCTCGTAATATTCCTCATTATGGAAGATTTTAGACTTTGAATCAGCTTCGCTTATCATTGATCTTTTACTCAACTTATTGGCTTGATCAAGAGATTAGAACTAAAGGTCATGCTAACTGGCTGTTCTGTTGATTGATATGTTTTGATTTGCAAGTTCTACAATATCTTTTCTGGAAATCCTTGAATTTTGATCATTATTCATGTTGTTTTGCTTCAAAACATTATTATAATTTTGTTAATCATTTTTCACACTGATGTTACTATATCTCCTATTATCATCTACTTATTCAATATAAGCTTGCAAAATAGAGTCATCAATTTTGCCACTCGGCTTTGCTCCCCAAGAAAACTCTGATCTGTTTTCATCATTATTAGGTTACTGATTCCCATCTTGAAGAATTTATGATATTATAGGACTCACGTTACTTTTTTTGATTTTAGTATTTTGTTATTTATCACTACCTTTTCTAAAATTTTGACCTATTATCTTAGGCTTAAATGAGCATTCTTCTAATTATTTTTATATTTGATCCTCGGCCATCTTTTCTTTTACAAATTTCTTTTGCTTTGCCTTTTCATTGAGAAGGTCATAATGGCTTTTTATCTTGAGTTTATCTTTCAACTTGCTTTCTGCAATTAACTTGGATCTCTTGTCTATCTTTGGTCTAAAAGTTAGATTTGGATTTATTGAAGTTTATTCATCATCAAAACCTGCTAAGTGTTTTGAAGCTGAATTACTTGATAATTTTCTTTTTTAATTTTTCCTATTTTCGCAAAGTACTAAATATTTCATGTGAATCTTCAGCATTTCTTCCAATGATGTGAAATGTGTATCATGATTCTAATCGTAGCATAAGGGTCCATTTTTTTAATGGCCTATGCTTTGGCCTTATTATTTATTATGAGGTTATATAATTTCTGGTACTTAAGCATTCATAATGCCAACTAAAATTACAAAAAGATTCTCAGCTTTTATTGTATTGTCATTAGTACCTCCTAAGGTTTTCCATATTAATGTCAACAATTCTTCCTCACTTTAAGATCGATCTTTTACATGAATGAACCCAAGACAATGCATTAGCTTGATATATGTCTTAAGTCTAATGGGTGTACCCTTCTTCATTTATTCTTCAAAATTTTTACCAGTCCTTGGTTACATATTTACCTTTGAGAGATTAGAATTCTTAGGACTAAAAACTCCACATGTTTTAGATTCCGCGAGTGGAGATTTAGGTGTTTCTTCATGATTAATGATTTCACTATTGTAGAAAGATTCTTTACTGAAAAATTAAGCAAATTCTTTTTTAAGTCTCTCATAAACAGTCCTATTATTGAAATCTTTGTTAACTATGTCTAGTGTGAAATCATTTTTCTGATCATATTTTTCTGCAAGCTATTTAAGCTTTTGATCTTTCAGTTAACCCTCAGTATATAATCTGTTCATAGCGGATTCTTATTCCTCTGCAATAACTTTCTTATTATTTGATAATGGACTTTTAGTATACATTTATGTTCTAAAAAGATTTCTCTTCTCAATACTGCTTTGATTTAATGCTATATTATTATGTAATCTTTCATGTACCTCTGGTGTATGCTATCTTTCCGCACTTAGTTGATGCCTTAACTATTCTGCTATATCTCTTGACTTTTTATTTGGTTTCATTTTTTATCTGATGTTTTCATTACTGTATTTCAGGTCTTCTTCTCTTCTTTTTAGTTATTTTGTAATCTCTACGTTAGACTTGAATTCAATTTAATCTTGATAGAACTACTAATAAGATCTCTTATGACTAAATCCTTCATCATTATCAGAACTTAGATTTCGTTTTCTTTCTACTGATGATAAATAAGGCTTATAGGTATTTTTAAGGATTTCATTCTCTTCATTATCTGTTTTCTATTATTCAAGCCTTTCTCTAGTTAATTTTCTCTTCATTTCATCCTCCATTAATCTCTATATACATGATTCAGCATTTCCAGGAACTGCTTTTTTAGTAGACTGACTTCCTAATCTGTTTTTTCCCTTATATAGACTATTTAAGTTAAATGAATCATTGCTGTTATATCTTATCATTACTCGATCGTCTTCTTATTATTAAAATCGTTATGGTGTTTTATCATCTCTTAGAGATGGAATATTCTTAGCGTTGAAAGAGATATAAGCTTGCGATTTTGATGGGTGAATTTGACTAAATCTCTAAGTGTTATCAGTTTGAAACGTCTTCAAAGCATTTTGCTACTTTATAACTAGTTCTTATCTAGCTCGTACAATTTTCATTACCTTACTCTCATTAGAAGGTTACCTTGAATGGGAGTAATCTCTTGAAATCGGTCTTGTCTAATTATTTCTCTTTCAGACTTATTGCTATTTTTGTGAGAGTATTTCTCGAGGACTAAATTCTAACTTCTTTTTAATTTGAAAACTTAGTTTAGCCATATCACCCATCATAGAACCATTTTGAACTTATCCAGGCATTTTATTCATGGATAAATTATTACTCTTATGCGATCTCTATATTAGAGAAGAGGATTAATATTAATTTGAAGGCTACATTTTTTAACCAATTTTGAGCTATATAAATGAATTAAGGGTTCTACTTACATTTGAAGTTAAAGTAGAACTCTTTTACCCCCCTCTGTCAGATTCTATTTGTGTGAATAATTGATTATACTAAGCTGAAGTCCTAAGTAACTAAGATTGGCTATTAACCATTGAATTATTATTGCTTAAATTAAGACCTAAATTAGTTTTTGTTTATGCATTTCTTTCTTGATTAATTATGCTATTTGTCTTATGTTGCTAGAAAACATTAATTAAATAATAGATGCTTGGTTACATGATAAATAGACAGAGGTTTGGTATTCTTTACTACCTAGTGAATCTTTTAATGGCTATTTTAACTAACGAAATTTTCATCCTCTATTGCAGTTGATTGTTTGGGATCTCCCACAGTTCTCTCACTTTTCATTTTACTCTAGTATTATTTTTTAATATTAGTTTAAATGACATTTTCATCCATTTCATCTGACATAAATTCCTCTAAAAATAGAAATTGATTTAAGTGATAATACCCTCTTCTGAATCAAACTCGAGTGCTTTGTTCATTTAATGCTAATTGTGCAGATTGACCTTTTTAGGAGAAACTTGCATATCCATTTATTTTTGGCTGTCTTTAGTCATTTTAATTAAAATATAAATTTAATTTTCTAACTGATAATCAAAAATAAATTCAACTTCTAGTTTATAGTTATTTTGCTTCATGGGGTTTTGGGGTTTTGGGGTTTTGGGG